AGGCCCCGCAACAGTTTGGTCATGGTGTGGCAAGGCCTCGCGTTGCACGCAGACAGTCCCCCCAGGGAGTCTCAGCTGGCCTCGACCCGGCCCCCCGATCCGTCCGAGCCGGTCTCAGCAGACAGCCCCGGACTGCTCGCGGGGCCTGCCGAGGTCCGCTGGGACGCCTCGGGGGGCCTGCTGAGGCCAGCCTGGTCCGCCTCGGTGGGGCCCTGTCTCTGCGCAGCCCTCCCCTGACCTTCCAGGAGGGCTGAAAAATAGCACCCGACGTAAAAACCTATCGCGAAGCTATGTTACGTCTTGATTTCAGGCGGTTTCGCTCAGCTTTTTAGGTCTTTAGGTTTCCAGTGCTAGAAAATAACTCTCTGGACGGTCAGGGTCCGTGCCCCGTCTGGCGCCTCCTCCGAGTCGTGGGCCCCCACGAGGCCCTCAGGAGGCCCCCAAGAGTCCCCCAAGCGGCCCCAGGAGGCCCCCCAGATGCCCCCCCGAGCGCCCCAGGAGTCCCCCAAGCGGCCCCAGGCACCCCCAGAGCGCCGCATCGACACCAGGCCCTCGGGCAAACGGCAGACATGAGACTGCATGGGCCGGCGGCATGAGCGAAGCGATTGAATAACTCTCTGGACGGTCGATTGATTGCAACAAAAACCAAAGGATTGCAACAAAAACTCGTTTTTTTTGCAATCCTTCGTTTTCTTTGCAATCCTTCGTTTTTTTTTGCAATCCTTCGGTCCGTGCCCCGTCCGGCGCCTCCTCCGAGTCCTCGGAGTCCTCCGAGCTCTCCGGGTCCGCCGAGCGCGGCCTCGCCTCGGCGAGGGGCGGGGGCGGGGGCGGTCTCCCGCGAGGCAGGGCCACGAGCTCCGCGCCGCGGCCCGTCGGCTCGAGGCACTCCAGATGTCGTAATAAAAGGGAGGGGGTCTCATTTCGGGAGGAGGACGGAAGACAATGCGACGGAGGATACTCCAGATTTCGTAATAAAAGGGAGGGGGTCGCAACCCTCCCAGACGAGAAGTTTTAGACCCCCCCCCCGTGGGAGAACCCTCCAGAACATCGTCCCCAGACCCCCCCAGGCCCTCCAAGATAGCCTGGAAGAGACCCCCCCCCGAAATGAGACCCCCCTCCCTTTATTACGAAATCTGGAGTATCCTCCGTCGCATTGTCTTCCGGCCTCCTCCCGATGGTCCTCAGAGCGTACGTGCTAGCCCCAGGGTGTGTTTGTCCATCGAGGCCCTTCGGTACGACGCAGGCGATGTGATGATCTACTGGTTGGGCTGAAGGTGGTAAACAAACATTGGGCTAACACACGTCTCGCCGAGAAAAAATGCACACGTCCGAGCGATGCCAAGCCCCAACTTGAGGCTCCAGTTTGGAGCCCCTGGGCCCCCCTGGGCCTTGCGAGGGGTGCTCTGGAGGCCGAGGGGCCTCCTCGGAGATCCTGGGGACGCCTGGGGCCAGGGACGCTTCCGTCCGGCAACGCCCGAGGCTGCGCTGGACTCTCTTGCCAGACCCTCCCCAAAACTCAACCCGAAGACCCGCACTCCGGGCTGGGGGGGGGTACGTTAGGGGGCCACATGCGAACCCTACCCCTGCCCCCCACGATTTCTGAGGAGGAGGGTGGGGTTCACTTCGCTCGGGAGCTCCTGGACGAAGTGAACCCCACCCTCCCCCTCAGAAATCGTGCACCCTCCCCCTCAGAAATCGTGGGGGGTAGGGGTAGGGTTCGCATGTGGCCCCCTGTACGTGTTCCATACGTAATCTCCCCATGTTCCCCGACGATTCCCCCCCCCACTGGAAGTAGGGAGCAGCTCGAAGCCTTCGGGCCGGGTTGGGGTGGTTTGGTGGGGGGTGCTCCGCGCTGACCTGCTCGCGAACCTGCCTGTCGATAACGATGCCTCTCCTGAGGGCCCGAAGTCGCGTCAGAAGTCTTCTGCTTCTGCTTGCTCTGCGTCGGGCGTCGAGCGCGTCATTCCTTGGGTGTCCTGGGCAACCAATATACACCGTAGCAGATCGCGGCGCCGGAAGGTGGCCTCGCAGTCGGTCGCAGCCGCAGCAAGACCACCGAGCGGTGGTGACGGGTGCCAGCAGCGCAGGAGCACGCCCGGCAGCAACGGCATACCACGTTGCAGTGTTGGAAGAGTTCGACGCGGGGCACTCTGCCACCTGCCGCGCGCGCAGCTGGCACGCCCGCGCGCAGCGACCTACCAGCCGCTCTCAGCTCCGACCAGACAGAGGCCACCGCATCGACTGCGGAGACGAAGACCTTATGCCTGGATTTCGCCATCTTGCTTGGGACAGTACCCCGTCCTGGTCGGCAAGCTGGGCCACCTGACCGAGGGTCGCATCATCTCGAGGTCCAGGCGGCGGCCACTGGGATGGACCCCGGCGGGGAAGCTCTGGGGCACCCGTGCAAGGCAACGCAGCGAGAGCAAGATGGCCCCATTGGGGCTCTCGCCCGCTGCCCAAGGATGCGCGATCACCTGATCGAAGAGACCCGTTCCACTTGGCCTCTGGGAGCCCGCCAGGACGGCCCGAGAGGCCCTCAGAACGGGCCCAAAGAAGGCCCCACGCGTCGGGTCGGGCGACAGGGGGGGACAGCATAGGGGGGGGGGGGTGAGAGTCAGCTCACGTCGCTGATGTTCCTGGCGCCTCCCGGCGCCAGAGGCGGCCATGTATCGAGGACTGGGCCACTCGGTGGGGCCGAAGCCAGCTGCATGCAGCAGATTTCGGACCCCCCCCTTTCCCTCTCCCCCCTTTTCGTCCGGCCCGAGCACCGGATCGCGGGAACATCGGATCCCGAGCATGTTCTTAGAACGTCAACCCGATGTGTTAAAACAAGACAGTCTCAACCAGAAATGCTCTAAGAACATTTCCTGGGAACCTCAAAAGGTTCTCAGAACAGTGCTCGGTGGGCCTATAGGCACGCCAGGACGCTTCGCCTCTACTTGAGCAAAGATCGGGCCGCATCGACACAATCGGAACCTTGGAATCGAATCGCATCTGGTCGGCCAGAATCGACCGCGGATCGCCTCGGTCGGGTCGGAACCGGCCCCACCTGCACGCCCACGGGGGCCCGAGGCCCACGACGGGCCGGCAGGCGCCGGGCCGGGGCTTCCCCGAGGCCCAGGCCGACGCCGTCGAGCTTCTCAAGCCGAGTCATCTTCGTCGTCGGCGTCGTCGTCGGCGTCGTCGTCGTCGGCGTCGTCGTCGTCGTCTGACTACCTACCAGACCACCCCAACCCGACCCGAAGACCCGAATCTGACCCGAGTTTCGGGTTGGGGGGGGGTACGGGCTCCGCGTGTTTTTGCTAACGTTCCCCGACGCCCCCCACCCCCACTGGAAATGGAGGGCCAACCAATCGGGGCCTTCGGGCTGGGTTGGGGTGGTTTGGTGGGCGGTGATCGTCGGCGTCGAGGGAGGCGAACCCAGGCGGGTGCGCCCTCACGGAGCGGGCCACGAGCCCAGGTCCGACCAGCGGCGCCACACGGAGGCGGCGCGCCAGAGCTTCACATCCTCATTAGAATGCTCATCGTCACATTTTTTTTGTTTTTTTGTGTTTTTTTTTTGTCTCTCTCTCTCTCTCTCTCTCTCTCTCTCTCTCTCCCCCCCCTGAGAGCCGACGCTGCATAACAAGTTCGTCATCGCGAAAAATGGCGACCAGAGCCCCAAATGCCAAATTTCTGTGTCATTTCCCGAGCCGGATTGATCTGTGAGGGCCCTTGGGGCCCGACACCTGGCGAAAGCGCCCGTCGGGACAAAAGTGCAACTCCTGGATCTGAGGCTCTCTCTCGCTCTCTACGGTTAAGTGTGTATTCTGGAGGCAAACTCTGTTTCTCTGTTTTGGCCCAAGAGTCTAGAGAGTCCACAGAGTCTATAGAGTTTAGAGAGTCTGGTTTTCTCTGTGGTCTCCCTAGAGTCTAGGGAGCCTACAGAGGACATGCGCGCACAACCATGTACATGAACACGGCCCCTCGATCCGCGAGACCAGCCGCGTGATACGAAGGTTCGCACAATGCGCATTCTCGAAACCAACGTGGATTCATGCACGTGTGCGTCCTTCGTTCGCTCCTGACTCTCTTCTCTCCCCAGACATGCGACGGCCTGACATTTTCAATACGGGGTCCCTGGAAATTCCGACCCTTTCCCTGGGACTGGCTTTTCATCCTGAGCCGTTTTTTAACGATCCCGAGGCCCGGCGGGGGCCCCCGAGGCCGAAACTGGCCCAACACCGCCCGTCCTGATTGTTCTACGACGCGATCGTGTCTGGGTCTCTCTCTCTCTCTCTCTTCTCTTGGGGGTAGGTGGGCGGGCCCGATTTGCCCGCGGTCGGCGACTCCACCAAAGGGTGTGGTTTGCAAAGGGTATGGTTTGCAACCGGCACCCTGGGGAACATCCTGGGGGGCACCCTAGGGGGCGCGCGGGGACCTCGATAGAGGTCTCCCGCGCCCCGACGAGGCCTGACGAGGGCAGCGTCGTGCCCCCAGGCCCCAACGGTGCCGATCGCAAGCCACACCCCAGCGTACCCAGAGATCCGATGTCGTGATTTGTTCACAACGTCGAACCCCAACGGTCTGGACCCTTTCCCCGGGACCGGCTTTTCATCCTGAGTCGGTCCTTGACGGTCCCGATGCCCGGGAAGGGCTCCCGGAGGCCGAAAATCACGAAAAACCTCTCGCCGCGATTCTTCCTCGCAGCGCGAGGGGGGGTCTGGGCAACCGCACCCTGCGCAGCCGCCGCGAAGGTAAAACAGAGCTAGGATCGGGATAAATCGCTCCAGAGCGTTCCGGAGCGCTCTCAGAGCGTTCCGGAACGCTCTGAGAGCGGCCGCGGCGCCCAATACATCCTCCAAACCCGCCGATCCTCAGAGGTTTCGAGTTATCCCGATCCGATTTTGCCCCGATCTTCGCGTCGTTTTTGAAGGGGCCCCAGGACACACAAATAAATACACACAAATAAAATTATTCTCCATATTTTCCCATATTTTCGGGGTTTCTGTCTTCCCCCCCACTTCCCATATTTTCCCATATTTTTCTGGAAATCGAAAACTAATTGTGTCTGTGTGTTTTTTCCTCTCCTGAGTTTTGGTGCCCCGGCGGGCCCCGCCCGGGCCGCCCGCGGCCGGCAGGGGCCCGAGGCCCGCGGCAGGGCGGCCGGGCGCCGGCGGGCCCGGCCGCCGGGCGGGGCGCAGCTCGCGGGGGCGCCTCGGCGGGCGCCCGCCGCGCGCGGCCGCCGCCGCCGCCGCCGCCGCCGCCGACGACGGCGGCGGCGGCGACGGCGACGGCGGCGGCGGCGGCGGCGGCGGCGGCGGCGGCGGCGGCGACGACGACGTGGTCGCGGGCGGCGCCTCGGCGGGCGCAGCTCGCGGAGGGCGGCGAACAGAAGAGGCGGACGAGCAGAAGCAAGTATGAAGGGGCCCCAGGACACACAAATATTTGCACACAAATAAAAGGATTCTCCATATTTTCCCATATTTTCTGGGTTTTTGTCTCCCCCCCCACTTCCCATATTTTCCCATATTTTCCTGGGAGTGCGCGATTAATTGTGTCTGTGTGGTTTTTCCCCTCCTGAAAGTAAACAGTCAAGCATGAGGGCGAAGCGAGGATTGAGAGCAGCACAACAGCAGACAAACATCTCGCATCATAGAGTGGGCCTCTGGAGGGCCTCCCAGATCGTCGGCGGCGAGCGAGAGGGGGGGAATGGGAAGGAGAAGCAAAGCCTTCTCAGAAGGCGGCGGGACTTCTCAGAAGCCATCGCGCCTTCTGAGAAGTTGCGTTTGTCTTCGGGGAAGGCTTAGAGAACTTCTCAGAGGGCCCGGGGACTTCCGAACCTTCTGAGAAGGCCTTCTCCTTCTCACTTCCCCTCTCGCTCGCCGCCGAAATAGGGTCCGAGCAGAGGGTGCTGGAGGATTCCAGTGCATCGGCGATGCATCGGCAATGCAGCGGCGAGGTCGGTGTGGAGAGCATCGTCGGGCTCAGCATCGAGCCGCAGTGCCACTGCATCGGCGATGCATCGGCGGTGCGGCGCGATCCTGCGACCCCATCTGCTCCGATCGACGGACAAGCCCAGATCACCAGCGATGGCGTTTTCGAGCCGCGCGCTTTCCCTTGATGTCGGCCCCTTGGGCCCGCTTTCGGGTCCCAGGGCCATCAGACCTGGACCCTGGGCGAAAAAATGCCCCCGGGGAAGCGGCTGTGACCTCTGGGGCCTTGCCCGGACGAGTTTCGTCGGCAGCGCTGGCCGTCGCAAGCGCGTCGGCAGAGCCAGCGGGCCGCCGCGTCTGGCCCCAGGCACACGAGGAGGAGGAGGAGGAGGAGGAGGAGGAGGAGGAGGAGGAGGAGGAGAGGAGGACGCAGGAGGAGGAGGAGGAGGAGGCAGGAGGGAGGAGGGAGGAGTGGAGGAGGAGGGAGGAGGAGGAGGAGGCAGCAGGAGGAGGAGGAGGAGAGCAGGAGGAGCGAGGAGGAGGAGGAGGAGGAGGAGGAGGAGGAGGAGGAGGAGGAGGAGGAGGAGGAAGGAGGAGGAGGAGGAGGAGCAGGAGGAGGAGGAGGAGGAGGAGGAGGAGGAGGAGGAGGAGGGAGAGAGAAGGAGGAGGAGGAGGAGGAGGAGGAGGAGGAGGAGGAGGAGGAGGAGGAGGGAGTGGAAAAAGACAGAAAGGGCCGCGGAGGCGGACTGTCTGGACGTAGCAGCAATAACGTAAACATCCTTCCGACTCCGACATCCAATGCCTCCAAGATGACCCTCCAAGTGCGCTCAAACCGGCGCCCACCGTGCCCCAGAACGGCCGCGGAGGCCCCCAAGACGCCCCCCAAAGGCCCCAAACGGACCCCCTGCCTTTTCGGGCTACCGGTTGCCCGAGGCGACCCGAGAGGCCCCCCAGACCAGCCGAGGACGGCCCAAGACGGGACAGGACAGGACGGGGCAAGCTGCAGCGCCGCGGGTCGTCCCGCGCCCGTGCCCCTGGAGAGCAGCCGGGCTCGCTGAACTTAAAGACAACAACATAATCAATCTGCACAGCGCTTGCGGGGCAGGACCGCCCGCAGGTGTCCAGTCCAGCAGCTTCGTCCAGCACCCGTCTTCGCACTGCTGACCTCGGCTTGCAGCTGACCTCTCCTCTCCTGCTGCTGGTCGCCCCAACTGCTGCATCCCGCTCGCCGGAAACGTCCGTCGGCCCGCGCCGGGTGGCGCGCAGCACCCAGGCCACCCAACTTTCTTGCTCAACGCTCGCATCGGCAACTTCGAAATGACGTCTCTGCGTCTGGATGATGCGCCTCATCATTTTTCAAGCTTCGGTCTGCAATATGTGAACCCTTTGCTGCCTCTAGTGTCCAACACCCACTACCGCATACTACAGAGGAATTCACCAATACGGCCACAGGAGTCCTCAACAGAGCACCAAGACGGCCCATGAGGGCCCCAAGACGGCCTTCCAAGATGTCCAAAATGGAGTTTAACAGGCCTCAAGACGGGGAACTCGCAGGGCCTCCAGGAACCATCACCATCCCAAACAAAGTTGCCCCCTAGACTCCACACATGCTCGCAACAGGCCCCAAGACGCCCCTCGAGGACCCTGCAAAGCTCAAGAAAGCCGCCACATATGCCTCCAAGAGGCCCTCAAGAAGCCTGCAACATACGCGAAAGAAAGGGATGTCGAATCGACAACAACTATACGCAAGCAACGCGGCGGGAAACGGCAAAAAACACGTACGCAATCGGGCTCGGCCATTCTCCTCCTGTGGGGTCGGCGGATAGAGTCAACTTATTGAATCCATCCGCCCACCGGGCTGAGGCGCGTGGGATTTAACAATGAAACTTCCTTTCAGGGCTGCCGTCCGAGAACTCGCATGAGCAACCTCGGGCCCTTCTTGGCATCTTGTCGGATCCTTTTCGGGGCAATCTGTGCAACTTGTTGGCGCCTCCTGGGCAATTGTCGGGCCGTCCTGGGTTGGTATATGGTAATGCTGTGGTTATTTCCAGCCTCCTGCTGTGGATGCGAAGACAGGGTCCAGAGAGCCAGCGGTCCATTACACAGACCCGCTGGTACTGATGACGGACATCGATCATATACACGGCATATCCGAACTGACTCGATGATGGGATGGGGAAGATGATGGAGCGCAGGAGGAAGTACGAAACACGCGCATGCGGGAGCGTCTTTCCCAATTTGCTGAATATGTCCTTCCTGTCTTGGAGCCGTCTGCGCCTCCTACGGCCGGAACTGGAATGGGTGAACGGTGAACGCGAAACGTCTCGATTAGTCGCGAAGTGGCCGCGACGGCTTACTATGTGGGAGAATCGAATGCGAGTTTCGAGCAAATGTGGTAAGGTGAGTTGCTGTGAACTCGGCCAGAGGGCTCCATCAGCTCGCGCAGCTGGCCGCAACCGCCAGTGACCCAAGTCGGAGGATGAGGCCGATCGCTGCGATGACTGACACCAATCGTCGCCCGATCTTGCCCGGTGATGCCTGCTGATCACAGTCGGTAGTGACCATGGCTGAAGATGACGAGTAGTGGTCATAATGGTTGCAAGAAATCGCAACCTGATGAGCACAGACAGCCTGGCGAGGCACACGATCAAGCGAAACATGCAGTATCAAGAATCACCCGCCCAGCTGCCTCGGCGACCAAGAGGAGCGAAGGGCGACGTATATCCAGTGCAACCAAGACTCTTGTGGCATCCATTATTTTTTGGGTCAGCGTCTTCAGAAAACGATGTACTAGAACAGTGGTCTCCAATGCGAGGCCAATGCTCGGGCTAGGGCTCTCAAGTCACATGCCGTGGATCCTCGAAGGCGGGTGAGATACACGGCCAGGCGCGGCCACAGCTGCTAAAGCTATGGCCTGCTCGCACGAGGCTTGAAAATGTGCCCTTCCGTAATCCTCCAAGGACGTTACTCGGAGAGGACAGCGCGTTCCTGCCAGCATGACTTCAGGCATGCCCTCGCATGTCTGTAGACCTGTACAAACGAGGCCGCAAAGCGCACATCCATGGGTGAGCAGCGGCGAAATCCAGCGACCCCCGCGGTCGTGGCGCGGCGCAACACGAAGGCGCGAGGAGGGCTAGGCGATGAGTACACTGGCCATGTGACCCTCACTTCCGCATCGAAGGGGGCGTGCACGATGCTTGAAAATGCCCACTCTCGCTTGCCTATCCGCCACCGTGCCGCGAAGCACATGCTGAAGCGTCACCAGGTCCCTCAGACTCCCCGGCGCCAAGGGCTCCAGGGCTCCCCACGTAGGTGCACCACGTGGGTTTCAGGACGCGTACCTCACAAATTTTTGACCCCTCTCGGGGCGCCGAGACAAGGGTCCAGCAGGGCCACCCCAAGAGCCCCCCGCAAGAGGCCCCAGCAGGCCTGGTGGCCCGATGGCCCGAAGGCCACGAGATCCGCCGCCCCCTGTGCTTGTGAAGGGTCGGCGGCTCCAAAGGGTGTGGTTTGCAACGGGCACCCTTGGGAAGCACCCTGGGGGGCGCGCGGGGACCTCGATAGAGTTCTCCCGCGCCCCGAGGAGGCCCGACGAGGACAGTGTCGTGCCCCCCAGGCCCCAACGGTGCCGATCGCAAACCACACCCCAGCGTAACCATACCCTTCGTAGTCGCCGAACGGGGTGCGTGGCGCGCCAGCATTCAGGGTGTAAGCTTGGCACATCTACGTCTCTGACTATCGCGAGGATAAAGAAATATAACTCGGCGGCCATCTCACATGCCATCACGGTATGCTTGCCGAGGATCTCCCTCTGAACTCCCCAAAGCATGCCCGAGCTCCTCCGGCCCCCCCAAGGACGTCACTCGGAGCTCGCCATCGCTCGGACGTCCATTCCCTGTGCTTTTTTCGGTCTCGTGCGTGGTTGTTTCGCCAAATGATCAAGGATGCTCCTCGATGGCCCTCGCCGAAGGAACAATGCACACGTCCGAGCGATGCCAGGGGAGAGGACAGCGCGTCCTGCCAGCATGACTTCAGGCATGCCCTGGCACGCCTGCAGACACCTGCCCCCGCGTGTCTGCAGACCTTCACGGGCAAGGCCGCAGAGCGCACGCGCGAGGGCGAGCGGGGGCGACATCCAGCAGCCCCCGCGGTCGTACAGTCGGGGTGTTGACCTAAGGAACCCTACACAAGGAACGAGGCCCCTATTTTCCATAAGTTGAACTTCG